AGACGATGCTAAAGAACCCAACTCGGGGAGGGTATTTAGGAAGGAAGGGGCTCCGGCCGGGGTCCGTGGAAAGTCATATGCGAGGTCTTTGCGGTCAGAGACCGCAGACAAGAGAGCTGAAAAAAAGGGCACAGTTTGGTTTGGTGGGGCATTCTGTTGTGTTCCGTCGATCACTACCGATACCTTCCCGAAGGTCTGTAAATACCTGTATCTATACAACAGCAGGGTGAGACACGACAATCCTAATATGCCGCGCTGGTGGGCGTGGCGAGTGTGGCCGCGCCCAACGGACGAGTTGTCTTGCCTGTACATTTGAGTAGGAGTAGAAGGATGGGAAAACTCAATATCGCCCGTCATTCAGTCTCGTCTTTGCTTGAATTCATATGAGTTTCGCTGGTCTAATCGACGAACTGAAGCAAATCGATAACTTGCGGCGTATGGCCGCACGATACGCCGCGCGCGGCGACGCGACAAATTACGATTGTCTTGTCTGTCTTCCGATAATAGGAGCTCCCTTCATACTTGACAAGAGTCTACTGGTCTCACCAAGGCGATGGTGTGATTTACTAGGGGCTAGTAAAAAGAACTAGCGAAAAAGAAAAATGCCCCCCCCCCTACACCGTTCGTTGGCCCCTCATAGCATTGACTACGATTCAGTTTTGAGAATTGGCGCAGGGCAGGCTGTCGCGCCATATGACTCAAAAATATTATATCTGTAAGAGAGACTGTACTGTTAGCTGTTTTGAACCACCATAAAAACTATTTTTTGCAGTAGATATTATTTTGGTTTTTCATTCCTATTCCAATTTTTACTTGTATTTTTCAGATATGTGTCACCTGAAATTATTCTGAACAAAGGTCATGATCAAGCCGCCGATTACTGGGCCCTGGGTAAGTTAACATTCATTTTCTTTTTTCGTTCTCCTAGAGGCTATTTGATATATAGTGTGCAATGATACATCAACTAATGTTCATTGAAATTGCTGTTCTTTCTGCGAACAAACCAGTTTCTGAGCGATCGCTGGGAAATTATTGATCGTGTCAAGCAGCAGTTGATGTATTGTTTTTTTTTTTTGTGTTTTTTTTTTTTTTTTTTTTTTTTTTTTTTTTGTCCAAAACGTTAGCAGAAAAGGAACATCCTCAATGGCAGTGGGTAGGGCGGTCGTTTAGCAAAACCCTCAAAACAGTCGGCTAAGTTTTGACCCTTGCTTTTTGAAGACACATTTCCGTTTAATCGATGGATAGAACCTCTTTTTGTACAGATAGTCCGTGATAGTCCGTTCCGGAACCTCAGAGGTTGCCGAATATTTGCAGTTGCGAGCGATTAATCGGCGTGGGGTGCTGTATGGTCACCGTAAACCAAGGAACTCCGGACCCCAGATTTGTCGCCACCGCATTGGAACACATTTGGAACGGGATGTGACCGTAGTCCTATATCTATTACCACAAGTTAGTTTGACGCGTTGAGTTGAGAGATCGCGCTTTGTCATCTTGCTCGAATTCCTAATTTTGGTCTCTGGGCTCTCATCTGTGCAGCAGTGTCTCGCTATTTCGAATACACGTTCAATCCTGGGGTCTCTTCAAAAAGCCCCCGGCAGTTCTGTCTATTCTTTTCTTCTTTAGTGGTTAGTTAGCACATGGAATCCATGTTTTCACTCCGAAATGCCAAAATTAGGTCGCGGAATATGGTCTTTGATCCAAAAAAGCCAACATGCGAGACTTCGGGCCTCCTTGGAGAGGGGCATTGAACCTCGGTACAGATTGGAATGAGTCGCACCTTGCTCCTTTTAACGCCATAACAATCAGTACCACTATTCGAAGATACATTCCGCGTTTACTCGAGAGGTGGGATCCCCTCCATGTATAGGAACAGGGCACGTCGAACGTTATAGATACTGAAGGGAAGGTGTCGTGTTTTGGTTACCGAAGGGAGGAGAGGTCGTCTGAGAGACGGAACAACTTAAGGGCCGCATTTCGCAAAAATTTTGCCAATAGCAGGGCTTTCTCTAGTAATAAATGCAGGTGTGCAGCCGCTAAGGCGTCTTCGCCATGCGGATTATGTGTGCAAGTGACTCAAGACCTTAAATGGCTAAAAACTCCCCAATGCCAAGTGAAGGTACTCTTCAACGCATGGCTGCTGATGACTTTTCGCCCAAGTGTGCGCTTCTGGGTGGTTCTCGCTCGCACTTGTCTAGTTTCCTGCTGAGTGTCTCTGCGTCTCCATTTGCCACATACTCTTTCAATGGTGAATAATCGGGCTGGGCGTTTTAAAATTTTTATCCTGCTTTTTTCTCCAGTAAGTGAATAGTATCTAGATATTCCATGATTTGGGACCCTCCTATCACACAGCTTGCTTTTTTACCCGCGGAAATGGCTTGAAGCACTCCTGCGTTTTAGCGTAGTCGTGCTTGTAAACTGTCTTTCTAGGGATCTACATATGCGAGCTCATGCTTGGACGGCCACCTTTCCAAGCCAGTGATCCTATGAAGACTTACACTCTCATCCTGAAAGGAGTGGACGGCCGTTGAAATCGATCGGTATGATATCAGAGTTACTAATGAAGCATTCACGCCTACTCCTATAAGGACCTTTTCAGCCGAATTGGAAAGACTGCAACTGCACTGGTGAAGAAGCTGTGCCGTGACAATCCTGGAGAACGCCTTGGATCTGGATCAGGTGGCGTGAATGATATCCGCAAACATCGGTGTGGTTCATGGGCTTCGACTGGGAGGCGCGTCTGCGATCGTGTTTGAAGGGCCTTATTCCCAAAGTAATCGTCCATTGGAACGCATAATACCAAGTCTTTTTATTCAATGCCTAACTTTAGGCTGTCAAATCCAGCTGATCTCATACTTTGACATTAGCCCCTGTCAGGACAGTACACCGACGCGAGTTTTCGGTTTATCTGGGACGAAGGTTTCTGAAAAACAGCAGCAGCAGCCGACTTTCAATGCCTCCAATTGCGGTATATTGAACCGCCCGTGTACGTTTCACTGTTGTTCGTTTTATGAGATTTCGTATTTGTACATAATATTTATGATAGAAATGGCTGACTTTTATTTGTTAGTCTATACTTTGTTATGATTGTCTGATTATTTCGCTTCTCTTCCGTGTAACCGTAGAATTCTAGTCTGGTAAATTTTCTAACGTTTTCTATTTTGATTACGTTTTATTTCATTGCGGTTCCTTGAGATTGTTATCGTTTTTCCGTTCGGACTTAAAGACACCGTTCGCAATTGCAAGGTGGGTGGAGCCACGGGGGTGACGTCATCGGCGGTACTCTCTCCCGCCAACACCCTGTCCTCCCGCCTTCTTCATTGCCGAGAAAGATAGGATGGGGCGGGTCACGCCAATGACCTCGTTTCCTGTCTCCGCCCACCTGGCTAACGCGAAATGTGTCTTCAAGTCAGAACACAACATCATCGTGAGCGTGCCCCTCCACCGTGGCTGTCTTTTTCTTCCCTTCATTTTTTTCATGCTCGTCGTTTGTCTTCTTGTTTCTTCTTATGTTGCTCTTTTGCTGGTCATTTTCTTGATTATCATCACTGTTGCGTAATCTGCCATCATCATGTCGTTGCGCGCGTTTGATACTGATTTTCTATACCCGGTAGTGGCATTGGGCGCGTTTGTCCTTCCTCTCGTTGTTTTTTCTTCTTGTTTTTGTCGTGTACTACGCAAAGAGTGTGAATATCACCTCAGTTCTCTATTTAACTAATCACACGTGTCCAGCCAAATGTACACTCAGCAGTCGCTTTTCAAACTTAATAAAATTCTATGACATTGTTCGTGGTATTTTGGGTGCTGTTCTGCTGGGTGTTCTTGGGGGGGGGATAGGGAGGGAGGGAGGATGGGCATTTCGCACGTCGCTCGCTAGTTTCTTTTACTAGTTATCGCTCGCTAGTTTCTTTTACTAGTTACTGTTGTATCACACGTTTCACCGTGGTGAGACCTGTAGAATTTTTCTCAAGTGCAAACGAAGCACAATCTAGGCT